GAAAATATTTCGCTCACATGACGACGTGCATGCGTGTGTATGTGTATGTGCGGCTGCTTGTACTAGCCCATACTTCATCTGGATTTTATAGTGCTAGCCATGCCGTGCCATGCCATGCCGCAGTGAAGCATGAATACCCCACTCAGACATATTATACTGACTCCGAGCCGACCAGTCCTTGTCGTACCCATTAATGCCGAGCGCCAGGCAGGGACCAACAAGTACCATATTTTAACGTCTTTTGGTATGACGCGTTCGGGGATCGAACCGGCGACCTTCCGCTCTCCGGGCGGACGCTCTAACCACTACACCACGGAGGCGGTCAGTCGTTGAAGGAAACGGCGGCTGGAACATCAGAGCAAGTGTTCATCACGTCAATCCAGACGTCCTGGACGATTGCAAGAGGAAGCAGAGGCAAGGCAGATGCAAGACGAAAACACTTCTCAACTTCGGGGCCGTCACGGTGGCCATGAACGAGTCCGAGGGCTTGCACCAGTCTGTCTCAAGGTTTTTTTTATTTATGTTTTATATATTTTATTGATTTACTCACAATAATAATTAAGCCACACTATCAACCATGCACAAGAAGACTCTTAATATTATGTGCATAGATCAATTAAAAGGGGTTAAACTTTAACAGTCAAGGCTGACCTATGGGAGTTTGATCTTATTGTGCAAGAGATAAGCCATTTAGGCCTATTTAGGACTGTTCCATTATCAATGTAGGTGAGCGCTTGGTCCACCCCAACTCTACTGTCTAACTTGTGGGGTTCTTACTATTGAGGTATAATATCTTCTTGATATCTCACATCTTACTCCATCCATTTCTAGGGCAGAAATGAACTATTATCAAGATTTAGCACTACTTTGTTTAAAGAACTTAAAGTCCGTATGAACGCACAGCAAATTACACACCCTAGCAATTGTCCGATAAGAGCAGTTCATATTTCACTAGAGAACAGGCAATATCCCTCGCTAGTCTACACACACAATGGCCCCAAGTTCCAACCATGTGCTCAAACCGGAAATACACATAAATACACGAATACTTCTGAGTGGAAAGTAAAGATGATCATGTATACGCCGATGTAATCCAAATGGAAATAAAGTCACCCTTGTTTGTGGTTAACGTATCTGATGAAAACGTATCTGATGATTACTAACGTAGACCCCAGGTCATGTTCTATATACTGGGGATGATTGAGGCAAGTATGAATTTTCTAGATAAGTATTTGATACTGTCCTCCATGAGATCCTAAATCCTATAATTATTGCAATGGTTGGTGCGTAATTAACTAGGTTTAGTTAACGTATCTGATGAAAATTGAATGTCATATGCCTTTAATCGTTTGTACCACGACAAAGTGAAAGTAGCAAATTGGAAACAGACTTCAGTTGCTTGACACTCATGATTTGCCCAATTACCTTGTACACTTATATTGTTAGGGGGTACATTCCAATACTTTCACTATGTCTGCAAAAATGCTTAACGTATCTGATGTTAATTTGTTGAAAATTTAGTTCATCCATATTAACAACAAATATTGTTTTGAATTCAACTGACTTTCTTATATATTGACAGACTTATATATATGCTACAAATGAAGAATGTTTTTTGCACACTACCTGGCGTAGGTAAGAGAACAGAGCAGCGCTTTATATGTGACTTAGTAAGTGGAAACCAGAAAATGCCAAATTTGGGCATTTAAAAGTCAGATAACTTAGACTTTTGTGTTTATTTGTGATTTAAGTAATGTTGTTTGGGCTCAAACCAAACCTAAGTGTAGTATAACAGTGCAACTGCAACTTTTAATCTTTGGATATTTACAATATCGTCATTGGAAAGACAAAAACTAAAATCGTCCCACTTAGTGGAGAATGGGTGTGTCACAGTATTGTGAGCGCCATTGTGACGTATCTTTTGACTTATATTGCGAAATGTAGATCCTTGTTTTTCACCTGAGGCCATCTGTATTTTGTATGTGTTTCTCACGGTATCAACCTGTTTCGTCTAACTTTTAAAACAGGTAAACAGTAGCAATTAGTCGACCCAGGGATGGTAAGGGTTGAGTGACTTTGCTCGTTAGACGAAGTAGGCATGTGGACCAATCCATGTTACCACAAAATAAAAACAAAGACAACATAAATATTTTTCATCGTATATTTGCTTGTAATCTCTTTATTGTCAGATCACTTGGACATATCTTAATTGATAAACCCCTTTAATTAATCTAATCTCATTAGTAAGTATCTTGAGACCCCCAAGATCTCCAATAGCCTCTCCCAAACAGATTTTACGGGTCAGTGACTCCATGGCTCACACTGACCCATGGAGAAATCACTCATGGGTGGTTAGACAATCCAGTTATAGTCAGGGCCTAAACATTAGACGAACCAGGTTGTAATCGTTTCTCACTTCCAACCCCAATCAGGAGGTGAGTGGGCGGGAGACAAAATGTGTATTTCACTAAACGTGATATTTTACAAATTAATTTCTTAATATATGATGTAGGTCGAGTTGCCTTGCTTGGAAAACATTTTCTAATAAATCTAGATGAAGAAAGATCAAACTGAAATGTGCAAGGGTAACAGTATTTGGTTATCACATCTGGGCACACATTTCCACAGCGGCAGGGTAAACTGAGATATGTAATCTTTGTATTATTTCACATGGGAATGAAAACTAAGCCGGGCAAGAGATGGGAATCACAGACAAAAATTACGGACATCCAATACGATTGTAACCTGGATGATTGGTTGGTTGGATGATTGGTTGGTTGGTTGTTGTATGACGCCTCACTCAGCGGCGGTCTGTAAAGTAATTATGAGCGTTGATCTGCGCAATTGGGATACGATGACATGTGTCAACCAAGTCAGCGAACCTTACCACCTGATCCCGTTAGTCGCCTCTTACGTCAAGCATGGGTTACTGAAGATCAATTCTAACCCGGATCTCCACGGGTCCTTAACCTGATTAGAAGGTGAGAGACCATAATCGTTATCACGGTCGCAATATAGGCCGTAGGATTGCGAATATATAATAGTGGATGAAACATTGGTAATGGTATACTTACCCAGTTTTCAAACTATGTGACAGACATCTTAACTTTGCAACTGCTTTAGTCAAATCTCTATCAATATCAGCACTTAAAAATACTTAGCTTGTTCAAAAACTGTTTTGTTAGAATTCGTTTTGAGGAATAAAGATGACTCTGTTTTCCCAAACCAAGTCATAAATTGCGATACATTTCACATAATTCTTGAAAAATCCAAGCATATGAATGACCAGTTTGTTATAACAACATTCTGACATGTAAAGCCCAGTTTACATTGCCTGCTTCGTCCTGCGATTTAAGAATGTTGCAACAGGCATGAGGATTTCGTGTCGAGTCGATATGAATCAACCTACACCAGTATCTTATGGAAGGGCCGAGATATAGATGGAATATGGCTGGGTGCGGCCTAAACCATACCTTCACTCATCTTATACAGCAGCAAAGTAATGTACACCGAGAACCGCATTTGATGAAGATCTTTTACTTAAATAAAGATATTGTTTGGAGAAGTTACTCTGGACTTTTTCTGTATTTTCACGAAAGGTCAGCCCCATATTTCACTGCCATAACATGCAATTGGTGTATTTTTGGTATCAAATATGGACAAAATAACCTTCGGCGAAAAATCTGGGTAAAATTTCATTCGCTGTTAAATAGGAAAACAAGCTCTTGATGCTTGGTTTGCAAGAGTTTCACAGGCTGTTGACCAACACAGTCGTGATGAAAAGATCACACCTAAATATTTATAATACGCAACAGTTTTCAGTCGGTTGCCCTTATAATACCACTTCTCAACCGTTTTAAGCTTTCCGCCATTACGAAAAACAATGATGTTAGACTTTTCCATATTTACAACTAATCCCCATTTGTTGCAAAATAATTCTAAAGCATTCAACTTTCTCTGCAGATCAACAACAAAGTCTGCAACTAAGAAGTAATTTTACAATGTCAACATCATCATCAACAAATATGCCTCTAGAATCGTCAATTTATAAATCAACAGCTAGCTGGTTTATAAAGGCGATGAACAAGAGAGGATTTAGCATACATCCTTGGTTGTAACTCGACTTGATGTGTCAAACATATCGGTGATAGAATCGCCAATCTCAACGCAAGCACAAACATTCTTGTCTAAAATATTATACAGTTTTCCATGAATTCCATTTTGGAGTAGCTCATAAAACAATATATTTCTATCGATAGAATCAAATGTATTGGGAATGTCAATCAATGCAGTGTAAAGATGATGTTAAGGTTTTTAAGATATTTTTGTGCTAATGACTGAAGTACAAAATAGGAGTCGACTGCATCCTCAGCAAAGTCTGAACAAAGACCAACTGTTTGCCGAAGTCGCTGCCAATGCTTTTGGTGATATTCAGATAGTTGCTAGAGATGCCTACATATGATTCAGCACCTTAAATAAATTTATCTTCGTCTAACCCTACGCAGCTTCCTTCAAACTCAGTTCAAGCCAGGACAAGATAGTCAACTGCATCCTCGGCAAAGTCTGAACAAAGACCAACTGTTTGCGGAAGTCGCTGCCAATGTCTTTGGTGATATTCAGATAGTTGCTAGAGATGCCTACATCATGCTTAGCAACAAGGAGATTGAAAGTGTGTACATAACCAAGACGATATCTGCCTCTGTGTGCGACAGCTGTGTCACTGAGTGGACGCTGAAGTAAACCATCCTGTGTTGGGGATCGAACTCGGGCCTGACGAGCAAACACACTCGGCTACCCCATCACACCTGAAAGACAGGACTCACCTGGGCATCAGTATTATTTTAATCAGTTTTAAAAATTCTTAAACACACTTTCACTGACGTATCTGTATGAGTCATTTGAAAACCGTCATATATCCTATTCAAGCTTATCCTAAGCTAAATGTAGGTACAATCTTATCAGACGGCGTTCCGTGCTTTCCCACGCCCGTGGTTTGGCCACATATAGAATATAAGGCTCCATGATCCACAAAATAGTGTCTCAATACACAATGAAGGCTCTCGTGCTGCTGGTCGCTCTGTCCCTGGCGTCTGGGGACCATCTGGACGACATCAAGAAGTGGATGGACGCTGTCAATGCAACTAATTGCCACCGTAAAGGCTACTGTAAGTGCAGTGTTTGTTCAAACAAGAGTAATCGACGTGAAACAAGTTTCAATATCTCTCTCTGTGTGTGTCCTGATTTTAAAAGAGGATTTATGCTTCCTGGTCCGATGGCTATAAGCAGTATGGGTTATCCAATAACCTAGATTCTCATGGCTCCCTTGAAGGTAAGGGTTCCAATATCTGTCTCTGTGTGTGTCCTGATTTTAAACGGAGAGCGCGGAAGGTCGCGGGTTCGATCCCCGACTGCGTCATACCAAAAGACGTTAAAATATGGTACTTGTTGGTCCCTGTCTGGCTCGGCATTAATGGGTACAACAAGGACTGATCGGCTTGGAGTCAGTATAATGTGTCTGAGCGGGGTATTCATGCTTCACTGTGGCATGGTATCTCAGTGGGCTAGCACTATAAAACAATTTAAGTCTGGGGTAGTACAAGCAGCCGCACATACACACGTGCACGTCGTCATATGACCGAAGTATTCTAAAATGCGACGTTAAACCCCATTTCACCTCACCTGATTTTAAAAGAGGATTTATGCATCCCGGGGCGTCCTTTCACAAAGCACTAAGGTGACCGTAAGTCACTAAGGTAACCTTAGAACAATATTAAAGAATGGGAGTTAAGATTAACCTTAGTAAAGGTTGCTTCGTGAAAGGAGGTCCTGGTTCGATGGCTATCATCAGTATGGGTCATACTATAACCTAGGTTCTCATGGCTCCCCTGAAGGTTAGTGTTCAAGCTGATCTCTAGCAGCCCTTGGTTGGTGTAAGCAGCGATTAAGGGGATCGGGTAGTCATGATCGGTGAGTAGGTGATTCATGCAATCATATCTCACCTACAGAGATCGATGCTCGTGATTTAAATTCCTGCAGCTTGACTGTATGGTTAAGAATCGATTATTAAGGGAACTATTTTTGAGTATGGTGTTAAACAACAAGGGGCGGTGGGGTAGCCTAATGGTTAAAGCGTTGGCTCGTCACGCCGAAGACCCGGGTTCGAATCCCCACATGGGTACAATATGTGAAGCCCATATCTGGTGTCCCCCGCCGTGATGTTGCTGGAATATTGCTAAAAGCGGCGTAAAACCAAACTCAGTCAGTCAGTTAAACAACAAACCCAAATTGTAATGTTTAATGTGATAGTAACGTGAATAATTGAAACAATCGAATCCGGTCTCGTTTCCTCCCAATGATCACATATGATCTACAGGACTGAGGCGATGGCGGATGAAATATCATGCAGATGCAAGAAGGAACATCCTTAATTCTCTCCTTTGTGGGACAAATCTTAATTTCCATTGGTACACGTGGACACCAGATATAATAAGGGTGGCGGTGGTGGAATTTGGTTTAACGTCGTACTTGAGAATATTTCCCTCATATGACGACGTGCATGCGTGTGTATGTGTATGTGTGGCTGCTTGTACTAGCCAAGACTGAAGCTGGTTTTATAGTGCTAGCCCACTGAGATACCATGCCGCAGTGAAGCATGAATACCCCACTCAGACACATTATACTGACTCCGAGCCGACCAGTCCTGTTGTACCCATCAATGCCGAGCGCCAGGCAGGGACCAACAAGTACCAAATTTTAACGTCTTTTGGTATGACGCTGTCGGGGATCGAACCCGCGACCTTCCGCTCTCATGAGTGTTCACATTTTCTGGTCAGTTGATTCTGTTGGAAGAATGCTTACACAGACCGACCGGTAAATCACGGGGAGTTTGGTGAACCCGTCTGACCAGTGCCAATTCCCAAGGTGCCCTCTCCCTGGTGTCCCCGAAGCTAAATGTCCCTGTCCATGGTGTCTAGGGTGAGTGAGTGAATTTAGTTTTACGCCGCACTCAGCAATATTCCAGCTATATGGCGACGGCCTGTAAATAATCGAGCCTGAACCAGACAATCCAGAGATCAACAGCATGAGCAATTGGGATACTTTGCCATGTGTCAACCAAGTCAGCGAGCCTGGCCACTCGACCCCGGTAGTCGCCTCTTACGACAAGCATGGGTTACTTAAGACCAATTCTTACCTGGGTCCAGGTATCTAGTGAATATCTGGACGACATGAAGCAATTTACGGACGCTGTAACTGAGACCAACTGTAGCTATAAAGCAACTGAAGTATTCCATGTCCTTACAATTGAACCCACGCAATTCTTACCATTGTTTTCCTGTACTACTATGACGCACCGCGGTAGAACTGTGTTATCTCTCTCAAAATCTTGGCCTCAGGATTGCGAAATGAGACATCCTATATTATCAGAACCATAGTCACGATCAACGATTTCATTTACAAGGTAACATTTGACATTACACATATAGTGTTAGTCTGGTACAGTAATTTCAATTCGACTTAACGTGGCATTTGGCAGTCAAGATAGACGCAATTCGCATACCTCTATGTGTTTACTTTACCATTATGAAAAAAAGCCCGGGCTTACACATGATTTTTGCTAAAAAAGTTGGGCAAGCCTCAATACTATTTAAATATAAAGCTTTTCAACCTAACGGGCTTACACGAAAAAATTGGCTTGCTACGCGCTTGACTTTGAAATACGTGTATAGACAAAAGCATACGTGCTGCTGACCAGTCATATTCGACCACACAGTTTCTCTTGAGTTTGCTTGTTAAGAAATGTTAAAGTAAAAGACAGTTGAAGCATGACAGAAAAGAGGTGCGGGTCGTATGTACGATCGAAAGAACGAATTGTTACCATCCTTGCGCGCATCCTGATATCTTAAGGGATCCAAGTTTTCAGGCACACTCGTACCTCGAGACTTGCCATAACCCACAAAAAACGTCTCAGCTGCCAGAATGTGGGCGAGTTTAGTTTTACGCCGCTTTTAGCAATATGCCAGTAGTACTACGCGTACGGCGGGGTCACCAGAAATCCACAAATGGGATCCACACATTGTACCCATTTGGGGAATCGAACCCGAGCGAACTCTTTAACCACTAGACTACCCCACCCCCACCCCACCCCACCCCATCTTCTATCTGATTCCAAGAAGTTTTAAAACAGTTGTCACATTTCATGTTTGTTTTCTCCAGCTGAGCTACGCCTTCCGTCCAGTGCTCGCTCGCACATACCGACATATGAAGATGGAGCAGGGGAGATGTTTGCCAATCGATCGCTGGCCATGGAAGCATATAAAATGACCTTGAACCGCGCCTTCTTTTTCTCCATCATTTACCAGAAATTGAATAAGACCACGGACTTCGGAAAACAGCCCGACCTCGTCTACACATATCTCTCCGTCATGAGTGACGTCACTTCCGGACCGGATGATATCGTGGGATCTGGGATCTATTACGATAAAAATACTTCGTATCCAAACTTTTACCAAGCCCTGGATTTCAACCTCACATTACCCTTATTTGGACCTTACGCGAACCGCATGCAGGGTCGTCTTAGGGTTGAAGACGACAGCATTCGTAATTACACACAGTCTGGCATCGGGTCAACCACCGACGAATGGTATAGTCTCTGGCTAAGTGACTACGCAGCAGTCGCCATATCCAAGGACGTATATGAAATAGGTACCGATGGAGATGAAAGTAAAAATTCCACGTTCCGTTTTTACGGACCAAATTATCACGATAACGTTTTCGATAAAACTGTGCCAGTTAGGTTCACGGTTCCCTATTTTGACTGTGGGCGGACAAATAAATGGGTTGTGAGTGTTGTATCACCTGTAACGGATTATATGCCTCGATATACAAGGTGGCAGCACCTAAGGGTACCCTGTAAGTAAACCCTTTTTTGTCTGCCTTTATACAGTTACCGTATGTCCTTGTGTGGTCAACCGCCTCCGTGGTGTAGTGGTTAGAGCGTCCGCCCGGAGAGCGGTATGGAGTGGGGTATTCATGCTTCACTGCGGCATGGTATCTCAGTGGGCTAGCACTATAAAACCAGCTTCAGTCTGGGCTAGTACAAGCAGCCGCACATACACATACACACGCATGCACGTCGTCATATGAGCGAAATATTCTCGAGCACGACGTTAAACCCAATTTCACCTCACCTTGTGTGGTCCCTCTTCCTTATTAGTTTATTGTAAATTACGGTATTACTTCCTTTATTCATTGTTGAAGGCCGTGAACATGAGGGTTAGAATTGTTCTTCAGCTACCCATTGCTTGTAGGAAGGGGGGCGACTGACGTGATCGGGTGGTCAGGGTCGATGACTTGGCATAATTACGTAGATGGATGGTCATGAGGTTGATCACTGGGTTATCTGGTCCAGACTATTTACATGCCGCCGCCATAGAGCCATAGAGCATATGTTCTTAGAACAACACAGCTTGTGACAGCCTGGGCTTGTGGTAGTTTTCTGGAGACTTCCCCATTACGTAGTTGATCCATAATGCATTGCAGTGAGAAATTACTCCAACCACGGCAAAGTTTGCGATGTTCACATAACTGACTGAGAAGATGGAGAGGAAGTACTGTTTAAAGTTGTAGCGTATAGACTTTCATTCTCCGGTACATGATACCCTATATATGATACATTCAGTCGTATCTACATATTTTAGCTCTACGTACGCCGGTTTGATGTACTTTCCCATCGGGTCACCCTTTATTACTGTAAATCCTCTGCTTTTCATCTTCTGTCGCCATACTCCTTGACCAATCATCGACCACTGGTTATCGTATTCAGTCATGTATGTGTCATTGGTTACTGTAAAGAATATGTTTACTGCTTTGCAAATTGAATACGTCGCATAATCGCTTTGTTGCAGATTTGTAGCTGAATCCACAGTCGAAATAGATTACACAAAAATCGATATCAACCCGTGTCCCTATTCAATCGGGAATCCTCGACCGAATTACTTTGCTGGCATGGCATTCTGCAAAGGCACAACAGAGGTAAGCTTTAGTCACTTCTTAACTTGTAAGGGGCGGCCGGGTAACCTAGTGGTTAAACGTTCGGTCGTCACGCCGAAGTCCCGGGTTCGATTCCCCACATGGGTACAATGTGTGAAGCCCATTTCTGGTGTCCCCCGCCGTGATATTGTTGAAATATTGCTAAAACGGCGTAAAACTAACTCACTCACTCTTAACTTATAACTTCTTTGCGTTGTATGTAAATGTCTGTATGATCAAGCTCTTTCGTATCTCTCTCTGAACTTCTTACTGCGTACTCCCAGACCAGAACTCTCAGATCTCAAGGCCAATAGCGCCTCTCCCAAAGTTCTCCTTTCTTCCTTTGGCAAGAGGTCTTTCCAGTACGCTGGTCCAACTCTGTGGAATTCTCTCCCTATCCAAATTGGAAACTTTCAAAATTAAGTTGTAAACCTTCTTTTTCTCAAAAGCCTATTTCTAAAAATCAATCTTTTTGTCATCTGTTTCAAAGTATACTTATTTTTACTACTTTATCCTTTTGTATGTATTGTATGTATGCTTTATGTAGCGCATTGAGTATGTCACAGTGGGTAGATAATGGCGAGCTAAAAATATCCATTATTATTATTATTATTATTATTATGTTTTACAGATTAAAGATAATATGCAGCAGAGAGAGTTCGGTTGATGCTGGCACAGTCAGGCTGGTAAGGCTCATCATCAGCTCAGGGCCCTCGCCCCCTCTACACGCAGCCCAGACAGCGAATGGGACTTCTCCCAGGAAACGCTGCCTAGTCGAACCCACCAAGAACTTTCCGGAGAATATGAAGGCTCCCCAACACTGCAGCCTTCTGCATTACCCAGAGTGTCAGAAGGGCTTTGCTCCCGGTGGATAACCCGGGCACTCTCCTGATCTGCGTCAAGAGATCAGGAGGTACCAAACCTAAAGCACCGAGAACAATGGGGAGCCTGTACTGGGGATGCAAGCGAGACATTTCAAAGGCGAGGTCCGCATATTTATCATGCTTTTCCTTAATCTTGCCAATCACAAAGGGACAGAAAATTCAATGATATATATAAATTCATTGGCTTTATCAAAAAGGACAAGATCAGGTTGGCTGGAATTCTCCTCAGGCTGTATATGGGCCTATTCCAGAGAAGTTTGAAAGCATCATTTTCCATGACGCCCTGGACATGTTCAGGGTCGTACCATGGATGGAGCTCGGAGTCAAAGCCACAGGCATGTCGGAGACGGTAGTAAAGCAACGAGCCATGCCATCATGTCGTTTAAAATATGATGTTTGTGCCAAGGAAGGGCATCCACTGACAAGGTATTGGACAGTCTCTGTGAATTCATTGCTAAGTCGACATTTCATATTGATATTTTCTTTAAGAATCACATTTAGGCGATTGCGAGTGGGAATTGACTGGTCCTGAGCAGCAAAAAGGAATCACAATTAAGACCAGCCGACTTCATCCAGGCGAAGGAGTCGATGGGATTGCTATTCTGTTTAACACACTGCATGTACACACGATGCAATGCCTTCTCAGAAAGTTTCTCCACAAAAGACCGACTCTGGGGAGACTTGGTGAAGGACTTCACCTGGTTTACTCCCATCACTGTACCGTCCAGCAGTACATCGCCATCAGCAAAATCATCCTCAAATTTCAGATTCTGTCCAACAACCTTGGCACGCTTAAAATAGCTGTGGAATTCCTTGCTTTCATCATGAGTCTTCACATGCATCACCAGAGGATTATCCGATAAATAAATATGTGCAAAAGTACACAATAAAATTCTATCATGAAGAGCCTCCACATTAATCAAACCCTGACCTCCAGAATTGATAGGCATGTATAAACGGTTAAGAGAGGAACGAGGTTGGTGGGCTCTGTTATCAGACATGATCCTTCTGGTCAGACGGTCAAGACTCTGGATGTCTTGTTTTGTCCAATTAACTACTCCAAAGGAATAGGAAAGGACTGGCACAGCAAAGGTATTGGTGGCTTTGGCCTTGTTTCGAGCATTTAGCTCTGAGCTCCAGATTTTCTTCAAACGAGATTTGTACTCGGCCCGAAGTTTTTCTTGAATCTGGGCATTCTGGAGCTTGTCTCGTACTTGCATTCCAAGATAGGTGTAGGCCTGATCTTCCACAAGATGCTCAATAATTCCCACCCCTTTTAACTTGACCGATCCATCATTAACTACCTTGCCACGTTTCAAATGAAGAGTATTACCTTTGTCGAGTCCAAATGTCATGCCAATATCATAAGAAAAGGACTCGACAAGGAGAACCTGTTCTTTCAAATTGGTATCTCCTTTGGCAAGGAGCTCGATGTCATCCATGTAAAGGAGATGAGTAAGCGGTGTTGGGGATCTGTGCTGAGGAGGTCCGGGATGGTTACCCTCCTCTCTGTTGAGCAGAAAGCTCAAAGGATTTAGAGATAATTATTACAATTATTATTATTTAGTTAGTTTTAGTGTAGGAAACGGCTCTGGTGAGAGCGTGAGGAAAGTACATATCAATGAGTTAAGTGTAACGCCCATTAAACAGTATAAGGTTTATATTACGGTGTATCAGCTAAACGTGGACAGAGAGCACAAATGACACTGAAAGATGATGATGAAAGCCCTTGGCGTTTAACACTTTGAAAACTTTCCACGACCGCGGGTATGCTATAGTCATTTCGAAACTAGACTTTAATTCCGGTTCGGATATACGAACGAAATATAATCTTTGTACATATATTCTATTCTGTTGTTCTGATAATATCAATGGTTGGGTGTACTTGGCACTACCTAAACTTGTAACTAAAATTCAGTGAAGTGTCAAGTATAGAGTTTCATCTTCCCTCAAAGCTAAAACTAATATTCAGTGAAGTTTCAAGTTCAGTGTTTCATCTTGCCCTCAAAGCTAAAATTAATATACTCAACAGCAAAGAAACGCAAGTTTCGAAAAAATATAATTTCATGAAGGTAAGCGTTCATGTTTATAGGGGGGCGGTGTGGTAGCCTAGTGGTTAAAGCGTTGGCTCATCACGTCGAAGACCCGGGTTCGAATCCCCACATGGGTACAATGTGTGAAGCCCATTTCTGGTGTTCCCCGCCGTGATGTTGCTGGAATATTGTTAAAAGCGGCGTAAAACCAAACTCAGTCAGTCAGTCAGTCATGTTTATGGAACTTTCATGGTAAAGTGACGTAATGATCCCAGATGAGATGATGTCATGCAATTTGACGTCCATACGAACCAACAGTGCAGCAAAACCATAATTTTAGCACGTGCGTCGACGGTTCTGGATGGAAAGCATGAATTTCACTCTGAGGTATTCTTTATAAATGTTTGTGTCAAAAAACAGTTCAGTATTGACGCTAGGAGGTGTACACGCCACACAAACGATGGCTAGACTAACGACTGAGCAGAGTGGAATGGCCATTGGAAAGTTGCACGGAGGTAGCTCTGCAACCGCTGTAGCTAGGCAATTGGGCTGTCATCTTACCACATAACACGACTTGCTCAACGTCATCAGCAAACCGGGGTTGCTGCAGATCGTCCCCATACCGGACGGCAACGAGTGGCAACTCATACGCAAGATCGGTTCATCCGGGTCACTCATCTAGAGTACCGAACTCAAGCAGAAACAGTAACAGCAGCCTTAGTTCTTGGGTCAAGTGGAGCAGTGTCCAGCGATACGATTAGGCGTCGTCTTTCGGGCTGCTGGAATCCACTGCCGACGGCCATATGTGGGGCCAGTTTTGACACGTCAACAACGCCAGCAACCCATACACAGCAAGGGTGTTGATGGATCATCTGGCTCAGAACAACGTTAACATTTTTCCATGGCCGTCTCTTTCCCGGATATGGCTCCCTTTGAACATTCTGGGACGAAATTGGATGGAGGTTTGGGGCAGGTAGACAGCCACTCACACTTGCACAATTGGAATACAGATTGGTGTTTGAGCCGAACCAGTTGCCTCAGGCAATCTTTCAGACTCTAGTGAACTCAATGAGGCCACGTTGCACGGCCTGTGTGTAAGCTCAAGGTGGCTACTCGCGCTACTAAGGAGACTGTCACTTTTCGCGTTCAGGGGTATCTCCATTTGACGGACTGTGATCAATTTGAACTTATTGCAATTCAATGTCAACAACAACTTTCAACTGTTAAATTGACAGTGTTTTCTATAGAATAAATGATTAGACATGATTTTGGTTGTCTTCTATCAAAAACCTTGACAAAAAGCCAGACTTGCATTTCTTTTGCTGTTCAGAATATACATTGAAGTTTCAAGTACAATGTTTCATCTTGCCTCAAAGCTAAAACTACAGTTCAGTGAAGTGTCAAGTATAGAGTTTCATCTTGCCCTCAAAGCTAAAACTAATATTTAGTGAAGTGTCAAGTACAGTGTTTCATCTTGCCCTCAAAGCTAAAACTAATATTTAGTGAAGTGTCAAGTACAGTGTTTCATCTTGCCTCAAAGCTAAAACTAAAATTCAGTGAAGTGTCAAGTATAGAGTTCCATCTTGCCCTCAAAGCTAAAACTAATATTTAGTGAAGTGTCAAGTACAGTGTTTCATCTTGCCCTCAAAGCTAAAACTAAAATTCAGTGAAGTGTCAAGTACAGGGTTTCATCTTGCCCTCAAAGCTAAAACTAATATTTAGTGAAGTGTCAAGTACAATGTTTCATCTTGCCTCAAAGCTAAAACTACAGTTCAGTGAAGTGTCAAGTATAGAGTTTCATCTTGCACTCAAATCTAAAAACTAATATTCAGTGAAGTGTCAAGTATAGAGTTTCATCTTGCCCTCAAAGCTAAAACTAAAATTCAGTGAAGTGTCAAGTATAGAGTTTCATCTTGCACTCAAATCTAAAAACTAATATTCAGTGAAGTGTCAAGTACAGTGTTTCATCTTGCCCTCAAAGCTAAAACGAATATTCACTGAAGTGTCAAGTACAGAGTTTCATCTTTCCCTCAATACTAAAACTAATATTTAGTGAATTTCCAAGTACAGAGTTTCATATTTCCCTTTAATCTAAAACTACTATTCAGTGACTTTTAAAGTCCAGACTTTCATCTCCCAACAGTGCAGGCCACTTAGTGGATTCGGGTTGAGCCGTGGCGGGTACGAGTGTGCGTGCGCACCAGGCTACCGCTACAAGAACAACACCCAGACGGAGCCTTTCAAAGGTGTGGACATTGAACAGGCAACCCTTCGAGACTACAAACATGGATTTGATTGTGTGAAAACGGGTAAGGATCACTTTCATTTCTTGTAAATATAAATACATCAATGCAAGAGAATTACCACTTTTTTCTGGACAGAATCCAGGCTAAAATAAATTTAAAACCTAGCAAAACATATTTAAACTCATTAAACTTGTGTTCTTTCATTAAACATTGTATTTCTCCTGTGGCAACATTACAAATCTCAGTGAAAAAGCCGTATCAATTTGCTAACGAAAGTACATACATGGTTTCAATTTCCAGCCGTGTCACATTATTTCAGTTCGTTGTCATGGAACTGATTAACCTCACGCTCTATCTGCGAATGTCTGCAGCTTCATAGCAGAGTATTGTCATCCGATAATGGCCCATATTACATAGGCGCCACACAATATACATGTGCCAAAAGCTGACGGCCATCTGTTCTACACATGCCTATAAGAGATCACATGAAAGCACAAGTGTTCTTTTATGTTTTCTCCAAGGTTTCTTCACAAGCTTTGTATCGCATAGCTTGTGAAGAAACCTGGAAAAAATAGAGGAACAATTGTGCTCTCATGTGATCCTTATTTTTTTTCTCAGTATATATAAGGCGAACCTTATCTTGATCTTGTGTGGTTACTTATCCGGAGATCTAAATATGATACGGTAACGTTGTCACTGGTCTGTGTGATAAGGAACAGGCTATTTGATTAATATTGAACGACGTCAGATCACTGACATACACGAAGTTTGAGATAAAGTTTTTTGGAAAATGTCTGTGTTTATATTTTTCCAATCTTGTGAGACATTCTGACATAGAAAACAGATCAGCAAGGTCTGTGCCCATCACCTTTGGAGACAATAGAAGGAATAAAGTTTTGCATGTGTAGGATAGTATTGTACAAAGTTGAAACATGTTTGGACATAATTGAATTGTATTTTTTGTGAGACTGAAACGTTCAAACTGAACAACGCAAAAATGCATGACGTCACAAGTTATGTGACATCATAGACAATAATAAGTAGTACTGCTTCTCATGACTACTAACATTTTAAACTTATTTATTTTTTTAGATATCACAAGCATGTGTGACTGACGAACTTTGAAAACAATTGAATTTCCAACGATATATCGAATAGTTGGTACCTAAAATTGAGTGCCAGTACCGTTTATTCAAACATTATCAAAGTTATATTTAAGATGAATTTGCTTCCATAGATGAAGTCATTATCGGTAAAAGGGACAAAACGGTATTGACGGACAACACTGCCCAAGAGAAGCAGAAGGTCCTGAACATAACGACCGATAACTGCCTTTCCCGGCCTTCAAGCGACCTTGTTCTCCGTTACAACGAGGAGTTAACCAAGCATTTCAAACCTCAAGGGCGAGTAGCAGTTCGTCTAGCACACTTCCTCAGCAGCTTTCTTCAAACTCAGTTCAAACCAGGACATGGTAGTCAGTTGTATCCCCAGCAAAGCCTGAACAAAGACCAACTGTTTGCTGAAGTCGCTGCCAATGTCCTTGGTGATATTCAGATAGTTGCCAGCGATGCCTACATCATGCTTAGCAACAAGGAGATTGAAAGTGTGTACATAACCAAGAAGATATCTCCCTCTGATAAGATCCCAAATGATCATGTTGTGAAGTCCTCGTCCATGAGGAATATGACAGAGTCGGTCTTCACGGATGAGAAGAACGTATGGAAAACGGCTGTGTCTGGTCTGAGGACAATCAATGCCGAGCCGTGGATGAAGATAATACCCAATGCCAAGACTCTGACCCAGATGAAAACATGGACGTACAAAGTTCCTGATTATAAACAAGGGAAATGGGGAGCCCCGACCTTTGTGTGCGACAGCCGTGTGATGGAGTGGACCCTGAAGTACACCATCCCGATATTTGGGCCCCGTGAGGGTGGAAGTAGCGTAGAGTTCAGGTTAGTAGAGCCCAACTCTCTATGTTTATTAATACCGGAATCGTCAATACCGGAAAATCGTTTCTTAATAAATATACTTTCGTTGTGTTCATTGAAATTGCTGCGTCCTGATTAGCTGAATTTGTCACGTGTTATTGCATTCATTTAAGGGTAGACACTGGATTCATTGAGGCATGAATTGAATAACTGACATGCAAACTGTATAAATCTAACGGATCCGGAATATGCCGAATGTCCTGTGAATGACGATAGGGGTAACCAGAAAGGGAATTCCCTCGACTGTAATTGAGATTCCCCAGAAGTCCACAGTGGGGAGAGAGATGTATTTGGGAAAGAATGCAATGACACGTGACCACTTCAGCTAATCAGTATGCAGGTATTACAATGAACATAACAATTCCATTATTTCCCAATGAACGAAACAATCCAGTGTCAACCTTGAAACATATATACTCTTATCTAACGTGCTTAGCTTCTGTTGTTGCAGGGGAGCTGTGTCGGTGTCGGTGTCGGTGCCAAAGTCCATGCTGCTCACTGACTTGTAGACGCAGTCAATGGAACCTTGCAAGAAATGAAATCGAGTTTAAATTTTTATAACGTTATTGACATGCTGTACTGAAATAGATATGTCCATGATGAATTTATTAACACTGATATGAGAGGTACCCACTGTTATTGTTAGTAACTCATATATTTGATCAACTATCGAAATACTGCCATGTGGCATGCAATGTTGTACAGAGGTAGTTCTGTGGCTTGTCACCACAGACGTCTCGTCTAGAATACTGGTAGAACTCTCTGGAGGGCGAAAGGTTCCACAAATCATACAGAAGAGTAAGTGAATGGTTTTAGTTTAACGCCACGCTCAACAATATTCCAGGTATTCAGTGACTCCATGGCTCACACTAACCCATGGAGAAATCACTCATGCGTGATTAGACAATCCAGGAATATAGTCAGGGCCTAACAATAAGACGAACCAGGTTGTAATCGTTTCTCACTTCCAACCCCAATCAGGAAGTGAGTGGGCGGGTGACAAAATGTGTATTTCCCTAAACGTGATATTTTACAATTTAATTTCTTAATATATGATGTAGGTCGAGTTGCCTTGCTTGGAAAACATTTTCTAATAAATCTAAAGAAAGAAAGATCAAACTGAAATGTGCAAGGGTAACAGTATTTGGTTATCACATCTGGGCACACATTTCCACAGCGGCGGGGTAAACTGAGATATGTAATCTTTGCATTATTTCACATGGGAATGAAAACTAAGCCGAGCAGACAAAAATAACGCACATCCTATACGATTGTAACCTGGATGATTGGTTGGTTGGTTAATTGGTTGGTTGGTTGGTTGACGCCCCACTCAGCGGCGGTCTGTAAAGTATTCATGAGCGTCGATCTGCGCAATTGGGATACGATGACGTGTGTCATCCAATTCAGCGAGCCTGACCACCCTACCCGTAAGTCGCCTCTTACAAGCATGAATTACTGAAGATCAATTCTAACCCGGATCTCCACGGGTCCTTAACCTGGTTAGAAAGTGAGAGACCATAATCGTTATCAGGGTCACAATATAGGCCGTAGGATTGCGAAATACGATGTTTGAATAATAGTGGATGAAACATTGGTAACGGTATACTTTCCCAGTTCTATATGGTCTACCAGATGACTCTACCACACACATTAGTTCATCTTTATCTCACATCTGTCGATTTTGAACTGTTAGGACAGGAATAGAAGGAAGTTTATTTTGGGCAGTTATTTGTTTCAAGATAACACATGACGTGCATATTTCTCCAGTGAGATTTTTTAATTCGACTTTTCTGGCAATAAGTATGCCTACATGTATATGTTTAGACACGAAATAAAGAGAGAAAAAAACCAGTTACATCAAGCTCTTGAGAAAATTACAATAATGCGTGTCATTGAAATCAGAGCTATCTTTACTTGAACCCGTGAAGATCCGAGTCTTCAGCAGTCTGTCATTAGAGGCGATTAATAGAATCTGGAGGTCAGGCTCGCTGTAGGTCATAGTATCCCAATTGTTTTGATGCTCGTGTTGTCAACCACAGGATTGTCTGGTACAGACTCGATTATTTACACACCGCCGTCATATAGCTGGAATATTACTGATTGTTTTGATGCTTGTGTTGTCAACCACAGGATTTTGTCTGGTCCATAATCGATTATTTACACACCGCCGTCACATACATGTACTTGGAATATTGCTGATTGGTTTGATGCTTGTGTTGTCAACCACAGGATTGTCTGGTCCATAATCGATTATTTACACACCGCCGTCACATACATGTACTTGGAATATTGCTGATTGGTTTGATGCTTGTGTTGTCAACCACAGGATTGTCTGGTCCATAATCGATTATTTGCACACCTCTGTCGTATACATGTACTTGGAATATTGCTGATTGCTTTGATGCTTGTGTTGTCACCCACAGGATTGTCTGGTCCATAATCGATTATTTGCACACCTCTGTCGTATACATGTACTTGGAATATTGCTGATTGGTTTGATGCTTGTGTTGTCAACCACAGGATTGTCTGGTCCATAATCGATTATTTGCACACCTCTGTCGTATACATGTACTTGGTATATTGCTGATTGCTTTGATGCTTGTGTTGTCAACCACAGGATTGTCTGGTCCATAATCGATTATTTGCACACCTCTGTCGTATACATGTACAGTGTACTTGGAAAATTTATGAGTGCAGCTTTATACAACTAAGACAGCTTTGTGGTCTGTTAGGACGACCTTTAGTGCTAGGTGTGCTAAAGGTGCTGTCAGGCCTCGATTTGGGGAATTAGCTATAGGGAGCGAGCCCTGAAACCTTGAAACAAGAAAGGAGCCAGAGCTATGAGATCCAGGGTTTATTCAAGCAAGTGTCCTTGCATGACATTCAATATACATCAGTGCATACATAATAATGACATACAATAATAGAAATAGTAATCAATGATATCCTAATACAGTTTATATCTAAGTCCGGTAATATAAGCAATGTGTGGTACAACAGGGTTATGTACGGTAACTGCTTACAGAAACATAATACAAATAATAACATTTTCTTGAGTAACTACGGTACTGATAAATAACATAACCTGACGGATGAATTAATCATCAACAACAATTGCAAAGAACAAGTACTGAGTGGAGCGCCCAACAGTTTAATTACAGCATGTAGTGCCTAGTCCATTAACTGTTGTGCGGATTTATGGCTATTACGTTATGTCGCGCCTAATGCGTTAACTACGGTACCGATTTATGACAATTACGGTATGTAGTGCCTATTGCGTTAACTACGGTAGGAATTTATGACTATTATGGTATGTTGCGCTTAGTGTATTGACTACGGTAGGAATTTACTATTATTACGGTATGTCGCGCTTAATGCATTAACTACGGTAACGATTTATGACTTGTGTCATACATGCCTTGAGCAAATACGGTAAGCGGCGCGAAGTGCTCAGATTTGACATATACGATTTAACTCCGGTATTGACTGTATGCATTCTAACTGTAATGTTAACATATATTTTCTCAATACAATAATTTCAGTAGATACGGTAAGGGATATTAGAGAGATATAAAAGTGTTGTAAATACGGAGACAGAAGGCCTAGTTTTAGTTAGAGTCCTACCACTTAAGCTTGTTTTATCACGAATTATTTGGGTGACTACGGTAAGTGTATTTCGATGGTGGTGTTGCTATTGGCAACGTGTAATTTCGACATAACGGAGTTAAGCCATGACCTAGAATATATGTAATGCTGTAGTGCTACATTTTTGTGCTTTACCAAACAAGACAGTAACCTAGTTAAATGAATATGTAATAATGTACTAGGACGGCGCTGTTGTCATTGGCTACGCGTATTTCTTAAATTACGGAGCTAAATAAATACGAAATGAAGACTGTACTTGCAAACTACACGGATTTGAATGTATATTTTCTGGTAATATGAAGAGTAGACAATACCATGTTCCACTGATTACGGTAATGTGATTCGCGTATAAACTGTTTTGTAAGGTATACAACTGCACGCGGAACGGAACGTTTAATACATCATTATTCAAATTCTTATAGTGTTGGTGAAATATCAAAACACAAATGTTGGCTGTTATACCTATCATGTGAGCGCGTATCTGAGGTAAATCTACACGACTATCATTTGATCGGCGGACTACAGTAAAATACATAAACTTCGTCTTTGCTGGAATTGATTGTATAAACTCTCGGAACTGTTTTTTTGACTAAGCAACTAGAATCTAGGCTACTGAACGGGAATCTAACCTGCATATACAGAACTAACACGCAAATGAATAAAACAAGACAAAAGACTGGGAATACACTCATGTGTGTCGAAACATAGAAAAGAACTATTCGTTTGTACATGAATAACATAAACTTGAGGAGCCCACGACGCAATGTGCATAAATAAATATCCCTGGGTAGTGCCTAATAATTAATCGGTTATCTAGAACTAGCATTTGCAATGACAAAGCGCTCCAATGTTGTAGGAATGTTTCTAACCTAACTCTAACATTTTCTAGACGATAATTGCAAAGAAATAACAAGTTAAACAAGACTAAAGTTTAAATGTTTCTTACCTTGAAACAAGAAAGGAGCCAGAGCTGTGAGATCCAGGGTTTATTCAAGCAAGTGTGCCTGAGATGGAAGAACCCAGGATTTTATACCCCACAGCTCTACTCGTTTGTCATTATCAAGTTTCTATAAAGTTGAAGTTTCCATATGCGTTATCTACCCTATGCTGACAAAGTATACTACACGAGGTGGGTGGTAAGAAGATGATTACCTAACAAGGTTTGATTTTCTTTGTGGTGTAGCCACGGTCAGCTTGCGCCAGCTGCTTAACAAAATATCTGTCAGCGCCTGACAATGGCATTTACGACAGGACAAATAGGATGGCATGATGGTAATCTCGATCTTGTTCAACAAAAGTTGATTTTCGATTACGACTTAGTTGGTGGTAGATATGCTCCTGCTGGGATGAGACTATTTATCTGTGCTTGACCAAGGGATGTACCCGAGAAGAAAGGCCGGAGCCGACACAGCTCGCTAGCTTCATCTTTGATTAATTAGTTTAAGGTTGGCGTGGACGCGTTTGCTAATTGCCTACTACTGCTCTTGATACGCGGGGCTATAAACAAGACACACCATGCACTGCAACTTGAACGTATACGACTTTTCTTTGTTATGAATAATTTGTGAAAAATATAAAAATGTATGAAGAAATATATGCACTGTAACACAACAAAGAAAAACAACAACCTTTACTGATCTCGTATACCTAGGACCGTAGTTCCTTGACGCAACAGGGGCGGTGGGGTAGCCTAGTGGTTAAAGCTTTCGCTCGAAACGCTTATGACCCTGGTTCGATTCCCAGCATGAGTACAATGTGTGAAGCGCATTTCTGGTGTTCCCGCCGTGATATTCTAGCTTTGTGTAATGTTTGCTGGTACATTGCTAACAGCCCCGTAATGCTAAACTCCCCCTCCCTTAACGCAGCCCTTGCAAGCATTAAGATTAGTCTACTAACAAGGTAAGGGGGGGTAGTTAGTTCATGTTCATTGTCCCCTGTCCCCTGTTTGTTCTATACCAAGCCTTGTTTTTCTTGCTTTGTTTAAACTGTGGACTTTTTATTCATCTTGTACTTGACACCACACTTCACTGAAATATCAGATGATGGGGCAGACAGATCGGTGGGACAGAAGATTTGTGTTCAGGTTAGTAATTTAAAGAATTGCAAGGTAATATTCATGCATTTGTATAATTACATAGTATAGGTAATCTAGGCAATGACTAGCACCTTAAATCTTCGTCTCGCACTACGCAGCTTTCTTCCAACTCAGTTCAACCCTGGACAAGGTAGTCTACTGAGAGAAAGAGAGAGACTTTATTCACTATTGGAAGCCGACTATAGTTCAAATACAAAGCAATTCATGCATATTCCAAAATATGGATATGAATGTACATTTGGTGTGGGAGATAAACTACAAACATCCATGTTTCTTTTCAAGTAAATGTATAAACGTTTGGTTTTGTTTACATTTGTGCAAGACATGAGTTGAACAAAATTTTGCTGTGTAGAATGAAAACGTTGGCATAAGTTTTGTTCGACTTTCCTTATAGGAAGGACAAACAAGCACAAAGTAGAACTCATCTTCAACAACTGTACATTATAGCGCTTACATTAAAAATCAGAATGAGCAGTGTATTAAAACGCATTTTCTTTTAATTTTATACTATATGTGACAGACGTCTAAACTTTGCAAGTGCTTTAGTCAAATCTCTATCAATATCAGCACTTAGTACTTTTCTTCTTTAAAAACAGTTTTACGTTTTATAAGAAGGATTCGTTTTGAGGAATGAAGATGACTATATGTTCCCATACCAAGATTGAATATCTTAAATCATAAATTGCGATACACTTCCACATTCTTGAAAAATCCAAGCATATGAATAACCAGTTTGAAATAACAACATTCTGACATGTGAAGCCCAGTTTACATTGCCTGCCTGCGCGTAATGCATGTTATAACAGGCATGACGACTTCATGTCGAGTCGATATGAATCAACCTACACCAGGGCCCTTATTCTCGAAACGTTCGTAGCCCTAAGAATTCTTAACTTTGATCGTAGCTAATGTGTTAAGTGGCTTAAGAAGTTCGTAAGGCTACGAACGTTTCGAGAATTGCTAGCCAGTATCTTATAGAAGGCCGAGATATAGATTGAATAGTGCTGGGTGCGGCCTAAAACCATACTCATTCACTCATCTTATACAGCAGCCAAAGTAATGTACACCGAGAACCGCATTTGATGAAGATCTTTTACTTAAACGAAGACATTATTTGAAGAAGTTACTCTGGACTTTTTCTGCATTTTCACGAAACGTGAAGCCCCATATTCCATTGCCATAACATGTAATTGGTGTAATTTTAGTATCAAATATGGACAATATAGAAGATCTGGGTAACATTTCATCAGCTGTCAAATAGGAAAACAAGCTTTCGATGCTTGGTTTGCAAGAGTTTCACAGGATGCTCACCAACACAGTCGTGATGTAAAGATCACACCTAAACACTCAACAGTTTTCAGTCGGTTGCCCTTATAATACCACTTCTCAACCGTTTTATAAATTCTAAAACACACTTTAACTGACGTATCTGTATGAGTCATTTAAAACCCTCATATATCCTATTCAAGCTTATCCTAAGCAATATGTAGGTACAATCTTATCAGACGGCGTTCCGTCTTTTCCCACGCCCGTGGTTGTACACATATAGAACATAAGGCTCCATGATCCAAGAATAGTGTCTCAATACGCAATGAAGCCTCTCGTGCTGCTGGTCGCTCTGTCCCTGGCGTCTGGGGACTCTCTGGACGACATCAAGAAGTGGATGGACGCTGTCAATGCAACTAATTGCCACCGTAAAGGCTACTGTAAGTGCAGTATTTGTTCAAACAAGAGTAATCCACGTGAAACAAGTTCCAATATGTGTGTGTCCTGATTTTAAAAGAGAATTTATGCTTCCTGGTCCGATGGCTATACTCAGTATGGGTGATACAATAACCTAGATTCTCATGGCTCCCTTGACGGTAAGGGTTCCAATATCTGTCTCTGTGTGTCCTGATTTTAAAAGGAGAGCGGAAGGTCGCGGGTTCGATCCCAGGCCGCGTCATACCAAAACACGTTAAAATATGGTACTTGTTGGTCCCTGCCTGGCACTCGGCATTAATGTGTACAACAAGGACTGATCGGCTCGGAGTCAGTATAATGTGTCTGAGTAGGGTATTCATGCTTAACTGCGGCATGGTATCTCAGTGGCTAGCACTATAAAGCCAGCTAAAGTCTGGGCTAGTACAAGCAGCCGCACATACACATACACACGCATGCACGTCGTCATATGACCGATCTGTTCTAAAATGCGACGTTAAACCCCATTTCACCTCACCTGATTTTAAAAGAGGATTTATGCATCCCGGGGCGTCCTTTCACAAAGCACTAAGGTGACCGTAAGTCACTAAGGTAACCTTAGAACAATGTTAAAGAATGGGAGTTAAGGTTAACCTTAGTAAAGGTTGCTTCGTGAAAGGAGCCCCTGGTTCGATGGCTATAATCAGTATGGCTCATACTATAACCTAGATTATCATTGCTCCCCTGAAGGTAAGTGTTCCAGCTGATCTCTAGCAGCCCTGGTTGGTGTAAGCAGCGATTAAGGGGATCGGGTAGTCATGATCGGTGAGTAGGTGATTCATGCAATCATATCTCACCTACAGAGATCGATGCTCGTGATTTAAATTCCTGCAGCTTGACTGTATGGTTAAGAATCGATTATTATGTGGCGGCTTATTGTTGAGTATGGTGTTAAACAACAAACCCAAATTGTAATGTTTAATGTGATAGTAACGTGAAAAATTGAAACAATCGAATCCGGTCTTGTTTTTCTCCCAATGATCACATATGATCTACAGGACTGAGTCGATGCGCTTTAGTTTACCTCTTATTTTTAAACGTTTTGACATGTCGGCTCCGTTTCAACCCTAGTTGTAAAGTGTATTATATGGCAAACACATTTCCTTTGTAGGACAAATCTTAATTTCCATTGGTACACGTGGACGCCAGACATAATAAGGGTCATCATGGGTGTTCACATTTTCTGGTCAGTTGATTCTGGTGGAAGAATGCTCACACAGACCGACTGGTAAACCTCGGGAGTTTGGTGAACCCGTCTGACCAGTCCCCAGGCGCCCTCTCCCAGAGTGAATTTAGTTTTACGCCGCACTCAGCAATATTCAGCTATATGGCGACGGTCTGTAATCGAGTCTGAACCAGACGACCCAGTGATCAACAGCATGAGCATCGATCTACGCAATTGGGATACTATGCCATGTGTCAACCCAGTCAGCGAGCCTGACCACCCGATCCCGTTAGTCGCCCCTTACGACAAGCATGGGTTACTGAAGACCAATTATAACCCGGATCTTCACGGGTCCAGGTGTCTAGTGAATATCAGGACCTAAAGCAATTTACGGACTGTAACCGAGACCAACTGAAAGCAAGTGAAGTATGTGACGTATTCCATGTTCCTACACTTGAACTAGGGCTGGGTATTGCCGGGAATTTTCATATTGCAATATATTGCGATGCGAAAGCAGAAATTGCGATATGTATCGCAATATATTGCAAGATGTTCTTTTTTAACAAAACTACCTATAATCGAGTTAATGCTTGAATTATAAAGCAAAAACACAACAAAATCACCATGCTTGATTAAGCACAATAAAAGCTTTTAATCATGACAAAATAAAAATGGAAATAATATTTGGCACAAATAAAAAAAGGAAAGGTACAATTTATAAAACGGAAACATCCGAAGATTTCCGAGTGTTACGAAGTTTTCCGAATGCATGTCAAAATACCGGTTTTCGATCAGCGTATCGCAATACGTATCGTTTTCATGTCTGAACCGGTATATACCGGTAAACCGGTTATATTGCGCAGCCCTAACTTGAACCCACACGATTCTTATTGTTTTCTTGCACCATTCAATCTTGACACATCATGGTAGATCTGTGTTATATATGTCAAAATCTTGGTTTAGGATTGCGAAATGATAGATCCTATCTTATCAGAACCAGTCACGATCAACAAAGAGTTTGTAACGTTACGACCTGTCCTAACTCTATAGTTTACCACGGGCTTACGAATGCCGTAGCGTAACGAATGCTTTGTGGATCGGTACCCATGTCCTTGTTTGTATTTAAGTTAACATTTGACATTACACAAATAGTTTTAGTCTGTTACAGTAATTTCAATTCGACTTAATGTGGCATTTCGCATACGTGTTTACTTTTGAAATGTGGACAAAAGCAGTTATGTAGTGCTTCTGAACAATAGATCCTGGCGACCATTCATATTTCGACCATACAGTTTCTCTTGAAATATTAAAGTAAAGACAGAAAAGAGGTGCAGGTTGTATGTACGGGCGGTTGGGTAGCCTAGTGGTTAAAGCGTTGGCTCCCCACATGGGTACAATGTGTGAAGCCCATTTCTGTCGTCCCCCGCAGTGATATTACTGGAATATTGCTAAAAGCGGAGTATATTGCAAAACTACGCTCCTTCTAATCCTTGCAAACACGTCGTGCAGCGTACTCTGTCGTACAGCGTGCTCTGACAAACGGAAATCTGGAAATTGTGGAAATCTCAAAACGAGGCTCGACCGCTAAAAAAGTTTAACGGTGTTGTACGGCCTTGATATTATATCAATCACATTGTATGTTACAAAAATACACTTAATAAGCGCAAAGAATACATAACAGGTTTAGCCAGTCAGCCAGATGAATTGTGAATCATTGTACGACCTCTTCAAACAGTGGCAGTCTGTGACGTCTTAGTTAACATCAACCTCGGCATAAAATATAAATACGATTTTTTTAAAGTTTAAAATTAAAATTCATTTGTAAATATCATTTTCTTATGAAACAAGGAATTGGAATTTCATGTAACCATAGTTGTTTGTAACTCTGTGTCTTTTCACTTTCAAACGAGAAAATTCGGATCGCCTGAAAGGTAGGTCATTGTCTGAATTGGTTAATGAGACTCACGTTTCGGTTTCTAACCACCAGACTACCCGACCCACCCGCTCTTCTATCTGATTTCTAGTTACCCAAGAAGTTGAAAACAGTTGTCACATTTCATGTTTGTTTTCTCCAGCTGAGTTACGACTTCCATCCAGCGCTCGCACGCACATACCGACATATGGAGATGGAGCAGGGGAGATGTTTGCCAATCGATCGCTGGCCATGGAAGCATATAAAATGACCTTGAACCGCGCCTTCTTTTCTCCATCATTTACCAGAAATTGAATAAGACCACGGACTTTGGAAAACAGCCCGACCTCGTCTACACATATCTCTCCGCCATGAGTGACGTCACTTCCGGACCGGATGATATCGTGGGATCTGGGATCTATTATGATAAAAACACTTCGTATCCAAACTTTTACCGAACCCAGCCTTTCAACCTCACACTACCCTTATTTGGACCTTACGCGAACCGTATGCAGGGTCGTCTTAGGGTTGAAGCATTCGTAACTACACACAGCTTGCCATTGGGTCTACCACCGACGAATGGTATAGTCTCTGGCTAAGTGACTACGAAGCAGACGTCAGATCCAAGGACGTGTATGGAATAGGTACCGATGGAGATGACAGTAAAAATTCCACGTTTCGTTTTTACGGACCAAATTATCATGCTAACGTTTACGATAAAAATGAGCCCGTTAGGTTCACGGTTCCCTATTTTGACTGTGGGCGGACAAATAAATGGGTTGTGAGTGTGGTATCGCCTATAACGGATTATATGCCCCGTTATACAATGTGGCAGCACCTACGGAGACCGCTGTAAGTACATCCTTCTTTTTCTGCCTTTCTGTGCAGTTACCATATGTCCTTGTGTTGTCCCTCTTCTTTATTATATACCCATGTAAACTTAGGATAGTGATAAAGGGGTGCAATACGGATGACATTGTCAAATTCCGTATTGCACCCCAGATTCCGTATTGCACCCCTGCTGGTTCTACTGATTTGTTTTATTAAGTAACATATTAATGCTAGGTAAGAGGGTATATGATAAATATACAACGTCATACTAGTGCATTTGGATGTTTTGTATTGAACTTCGAGGAACGAGTTGTTTCTCTGCTCCCATGACATCTTCGACTTCAATACAAAACACCCAAATGCACAAGCAGGTAGGGCTGGGACGAGTTCAAAGCTTCTACTCGGGTACCCCACCCCCTATTACCCTACCCAGATACCCGTTATGTTAATTCCTGATATCAAATTTGCAAGAAATGGCAATATATTCTTCAGCTCGGAGGCTAAAATTTCGAGTGTTTCAATATCTTAACCATGTATCATATTCAAAAGAAGTGACTGTAAATTATGTCTAAATTATTAAAGACAGTACAACCTTTTGATAAAAAACAATAACATATTACATTGGTTAATCTATTAGTCACATGATCATAATGGGTCCGGGTATAGAGACCGGTACCCGGGTCCAATTCATTACCCACCCGTTCCGGGTATCTGGGTTACCCGTCCCAGCCCTACTAGTAGGTCGTTCTATATATTTATTAGTTTATTGTAAAATACCGCATTCCTTCCTTTATTCATTGTTGAAGACCGTGAACATGTGGGTTAGAGTGGTTCTTCAGCTACCCATTGCCTGTAGGAAAGGGGCTGTTACGACGTAAATTGTAATAAAAACGCAAATTGTAATGCTTGCAGCAAATTGTAATAAACTTGACGTAAATTGTAATAAAAACGTAAATTGTAATAAAAATTGACGTAAATTGTAATACGCAAATTGTAATAAAAACTGACGTAAATTGTAATAATTTTCGTTGCGGTAAAATGTAATAACAGTTTTAATCACTCTTAAATACGCGGGTGTTTGTTTTTCGGTCAAATTTATTACAATTTGCTGCAAGTATTACAATTTGCGTTTTTATTACAATTTACGTCGTAACACCTCGGTTCATCCTTTATTTCTGAAAACTCTCAGCCATTCATCATCTGTCGACATACTCCTTGACCAATCACTGATCACTGGTTATCAGTCTATGGGCGGATCCAAGAATTTTGAAAGGAGGGGTTCAGGGGGTTCGAACCCCCTGAACCCCCGATTGGCTCCGCCAACTCCCCAAAAAATCTTCAATGTGATCTTAAGTCATTTTCAAAAGGGGGGTTCGAATCCCCTGAACACCCCTACTACTTGGATCCGCCACTGCAGTCAAGTATTATCATCGGTTACTGTAAAGAACAGTTTTACCGCTTTCCAAATTGAATACATCAGATAATCAGAGCTTGCACCGTTTTGTTGCAGGTTTGTAGCTGTATCCACAGTCGACATAGATTATACCAAACTCGATATCAATCCGTGTCCCCTTTCCATGGGGAATCCTCCCCTGAATTACTTTGCTGGCATTGCATTCTGCAAAGGCACAACAGAGGTAAGCTTTAGTCACTTCTTCCCTTATAACTTCTTTGCGTTGTATATAAACGTCTTGGCTCGTCACGCCGAAAACACGGATTCGAGTCCCCACATGGGCACAATGTGTGAAGCCCATTTCTGGTGTCCCCCGCCGTAATGTTGCTGGAATATTGCTAAAAAAGCGGCGTAAAACCAAACTCAGTCAGTATATAAACGTCAATATAATTAAGCCCCTTCGTATCTCTCTGAACCTCTTACTGCGTACTCCCCTACCAGAACTCTCAGATCTCAAGACCATTATCGACTATCATTTCCCAAAGTTCTCCTTTCTTCCTCTGGCAGTACGCTGGTCCTACTCTTTGGATTTCTCTCTCCATATAAGGCAGTCTCCCACATTGGAAACTTTCAAAATGTATTTGTAAACCTTCTTTCTCTCAAAAGCCTTTTTTCGAAAATCAATATTTTTCATCAATTCCAATGTACTCTTATTTTTACTATTTTATCATTTTTTATGGATTGTATGTATGCTTTTTAGCGCCTTCAGCATTTACAGACCCGTGCCAGTTATATTCGGACACTTTACGTACTTCCATAGACTAACATGCTAATTTAGTGTGGCATAAATAATTTTCTGAATTTAATTTTCGTAAGATCCAAGTCACATTTTGCACATTTGTGAGAAATCATCTTGCCTACAAACACGTAATTTCTGTTTAAGTTTCCATTGTTTATTTATCAAATGGCAACAATTTAATCAACATGTGTAAAGTGCCGCGAACTCCGTTAACATGGCGGCCTATGGGATCGTGCATTGCGGAACCATACGTAAGTTGATAAATGTGATGTCATTTATTAAATAGTGGTCGGAAAACTCAACTTAAATTATGTGCGCAGAGCTGAGATGATTTCAAATTTGCCTGTCAACTTTTACAAAGATCTATCCTAAACTCACTTCATGAAAATTATTAATGCTACACTGAAATAACATGTAAGTCTATGGAAATTACGTCATGTGTCCTAATATATCTGGCACGGGTCTGTGTGTGTGATAATGGCGCACTAAAAATCTCCGTTATTATTATTATATTATTATTATTATTAGTGGAGGAAACGACTTAGGTGGGAGTGGGAGCCTAGTATATTGCAATGAATTGAGTGCAACGCCCTGTAAACAGTGTAAGGGTTATATTACGGCGTATCA